CTCTTGAAAGAAGGATTGCCTACAAGAGAAGAACAGTGAGATGGATCAAGACTTCTGATGAGCAGTAACGTAAGCCAGAAAATGATTGTGTGTTCTCTTCTAACCCTAAGGGAAACTCACATTCAGTGGAGAAGTATATGCTCACTAAATTAACATGCAAGAGCAAGGGCTAAATACATTTTCAAACACATTTCTCACTGAAAGAACTACTAAATGATGTACTTGAGTTAGAAGGAAATTGAATCCACAAGGAAGGAGTGGGAGCAGAATGCAAGAAACAATGGTAAAGGAGGAAGCTGCTGGATCCAAATACACATAGACTATTCTATATACAAATATATACACACATATACACACATGTACATACATGTAGGTATACTGTATCTGCATAAATAATATAAATATATACACACACCAATGGGGGATAAATGAGAGGAAGCAAATACTGGACAGTAATCATATAAGAGTTGAGAGTGGAATGTTAAAAAGTTGTTCTGAAGTCCTGTAACTGCTTTGGAGGAGGTTGGACAGACGCTTTTTTTACTTTAAGTTGTTTGTTACATTATAGCAATATATTCCGAAAAAGTGGTATAAGAACTAACAAATCAATAGAAGAGAAAAATGGAATCCAAAAATCTAATGCAATAGAAATCAGGAAAGGAAAAAAAAAGACATAAGAGACATAGATAAAAAACAAGATGAGCGAGATCAGTACAAATAGATTACTGATCAAATAAATGTAAGTAGAATGAGCTCTCCCCTGATTTTTCAGATTGGATTCAAAAGAAATCTGCCTCCGTGCTAGAGGTACAGGTAATACAAAATGACCCAGAATAGTTGGAAGTAAAGAGGTGAAAAAAGACAACACAAATGCCAACCAAAAAAAGTAATCTTGTATTATGAACATCAGATAAGGGGCACCTGGGTGGCTCGGTGGTTGAGGGTCTGCCTTTGGCTCAGGTCATGATCTCAAGGTCCTGGGATTGAGTCCCGTGTTAGGCTCCCCTTAGGGAGCCTGCTTCTCCCTCTGCCTATGTCTCTGCCTCTCTGTGTCTCTCATGAATAAATAATAAAATCTTTAAAAAAAATGAACATCAGATAAGATAGACTGAAAAAAAAACATTTTCAGAGATAAAACAGGTCCTTAATGATAAAAGAATATCTGGTATTTTCTATTGGGTCAGACTTTTTGTAATGCTTTTCACAACCCACTGAGCTGAGTTTACCACATGCTAATGTAATGAACCCACTGTTTAAAAAATGTTGCTCTAGAACACATTTCTACTCCTCCCTGAAAGGCCCAAGCAACTCCTAAGAGGCATGCTGTCATACTACAGATGAGTATCTGGGACACCTCCACAATACCAGGAAATATGAGGTATCTACAAGTTTTTATAATTAGTTCCCCAAAACAATAAGGAACACTCATAACCACCCAAATGAGAAACTCTTATTTTGTTTCACCAAAGATCTGAGAAGAAATCACAAAGCTTATTTACAGAGAGAAAATTGAATTTATGAGAGAGTTGGAAACTCTGAGTATTCCACAAGGTATTTGTGTGTGTGTGTGTGTGTGTGTGTGTGTGTTTAAGACATGAGAGACACAGAGAGAGGCAGAGACATAGGCAGAGGAAGAAGCAGGCTCACTGCAGGGAGCCTGATACGGGACTCGATCCCAGGACCCTGAGATCATGACCTGAGCCAAAGGCAGACACTCTACCATTGAGCCACCCAGGTGCTCCTCCACAAGGTATTTGAAAGAGAATTTGCAAACATATATTTCCTTTATGTTGAAATCCACTTTTCTTGAGTACAAAATCCTTCAATATACTCATTAGTGCATTGAGTCATGGCAAGGATGTGATAAGAACCTTCCAAGGCATCTCACACGGAGTTGGAGGTTCGCTCTTGCCAGGATTACTGAAGGACTGTCTTGTGTTGTTTCTCCAGCATCTTTCCAGGAACTGTAATATATTGAAAGTTTCTTTCTCCAAAACGATTAGAAAAACTCCAGGGAATCATCCAGAGAAAATAGTCATTGCTACATTATTGTCTGTTTTGCTAAGAAGCAAGGAAAGCAACTGAGCTAAGAGAAATTCTAAAGTATAGATCTCTGGGTAACTTCCAAGTCCCAGCTAGTGGCCGCTCTCTTCTTCCCTGTCTGCAGTCACCATCCTACAGCCCTGATTCCTCTCTACTGGCTGAGCAATACCTAACGTTATAGAATTTTATAATTATAAAATCTCTTATGTATTCAATAATTTGCAAACCCTTGGGAAGAGGCCTCACTTCCAATTTTATGAATTACTGGCTCTTCAGCCAATTGGCTCTGTGTAGGATACAACCTCAGAGCTGAATTCTTATTACTTTAAAACAAAAGAGATTTAGTTATTTGAGAGAGAGAGAGAGAGAGAGAGAGAGAGAGCAAGTGGGGAAGAGGGAGAGAGAGAGAGTCTCAAGCAGACTTCACACTGAGCCTGTTGCGGGGCCTGATCCCACAATCCTGAAATCATGACCTGACCTGAAACCAAGAGTCGGGTGCTCAACCAACTAAACCACCCAGGAACCCCCTTATTACTTTATTAGTTGATTTAAGAAATTGCTAACACAGTGAGGCTTACTATGGACCAGAGAATATCTCTTGTTTTCACACTAACACAGTAAAGGAAATATTTGTACTATCCCCATTTTACAGATGAGGAAATCGAGGCTCAGAGATTTTAAGTAACTTGCTCCAGATTCCTCAGCTTGTCATTTGCAGAGCTGAGATTCCGGCTTTCTGATCCAGGGTTGGCTTTCTTAATCAATATGGTACCCTGCTGGCTTTCATCAGAATAATAGATAATTAGGAGAATTTGGTTCACAGGCATTTTTAAATTCACATCCAAATATGGAGGTTTCTTCCTGGGCTTAGCCCAAAGTCAACTATATAATAATGTGTATAATACTCTGTGTGCTACAGAAATAAAAAAAAAATACTCCGTGTGCCTATCTTGAAAGAGCAGATGGACTCCATTTGATAATTTAAAGAGATAAAAGTAGGAAGCCACTCATAAGGGAGAGGCTTTTTTTTTAAAGCAACAAAATTGTTTATGTGTTAAACATTACGCTGCCCTCTCTGGTATTTGCTGATTGGCACAACCACTGCCTTTAAAATTGATTCCGTAATCATGACTATAATGACCAGGATTAGCCCAGTTCAATGAGTGCGTGCTTTCCCCAGGGCTCACAAAAGCCTTCTCTTGGGATCCAGGCTTTCCTGGTAATGAGAAGTTAACTAACAAGGCTGCCGTATTCCACGTTGGGAAATAGCAGTCCTTGGTATGAAATGAAGAAAGTCAAGAAATGGATGAATGGTCTCTGACCAAACAGAGGAAAATCACCCTAAACTGGTCAGCAGAACCCCAAAGAACAACTGTAGATTTCTGGAATGATGAAGGAAATGGGTGTTTCTGTTTGTTGAATATTTAGGTAATTGAGAGGTCAAGGGATTGTAGGAAAAAGCTATAAGTTATTCTTAAGCTAAAGAACTCTTATTTGCCTCTCAGCGGCCTGTTTCTTAAAATTGAAACACTTGTACTCCTGAAATAATATACGCCTGCTATAAACATCCCAAACAACCCAACCAGAAAAATATGGAATATTTTCTCCATTTTACTTCCTCCCTAAAGCAACCAACACTCTGTGTATCCTTCCAAACTTTCAGAATACATTATGCAGAAAGAATTTGACTATAAGGAAACCTAGTCAACTTGCTAATTATAATTAGTACTAACCTTTTTTTGTTGTTTTTGTTTTGTTTTGTTTTTGTTTTGTTTTTGAGTACTAACCTTTTTGTAGCGATTCAGAAGATCCTTCAGGTTTATTATCATTAAGAGTATCATTTTGCACATTTGTCACAGTGCAAAAATGTGGGGATCTCTGTGTGCTTGGATCCAGATAAACAGAAGCTTGTGGGGGGCACCTGAGTGGCTCATTTGGTTAAGCATCTGCCTTTGGCTCAGGTCATGATCCTGGGGTCCTGGGATGGAGTTCCGCATCAGACTCCCTGCTCAGCGGGGAGTTTGCTTCTCCCTCTGCCTCTCTGCTCATGCTCTCTCTCTCTCAAATAAATAAATAAAACCTTAAAAACAAAACAAAACAAAAAACCCAGAAGCTGGTGGGAAAGATGTGGATAATCCCTTTTTTAGCTGGCCAGGAGGATTTGTGCTTCCTCAGCCCACAGAACAAAGCTGTTGAAGGTGTCTAATCTTTTGAACATAAGGCTTTAGGAAACACTGTAAAAATATTGGTTTGTAATTTAAAAGATTTGGGGGATTACCTTATGTTCTATGACATTAATATAGGATCATTTTTTTTCTCTGAATTCCCTTGTGCTCATCCATATCCTTATTCTTACCATACCTTATTGATCTTATTCTATATTCTATGTCTCCTACTAAATTTTCAGCTCCTCAAGAGCAGCTGGAACACTCTACCTATATTTGCATCTCAACACCATTTCCTAGCTCTGCAACCCTGCAAGCTGCCTAAACTGAATTTCTTCATCTGCAAAATGGGCATAATCATTCTTGCCTTTTTTGGGGTGTTTTGGTGGTTAAATTTATAAAAACAGTTAAACAATGCCTGGGAAATAAGTGCTCAATAAACATGAGCTATGGAATAATAAAATACAACTTAAATAGTTAAAATTATCAATAGTCTCTTTATTGCCAATGTAGAGTAGATGTTCAGTCAAATGGTATTAAACAGAACTGTGATTAATACATTGACTATGTGTTAAATAAAATTTACCATTATTATAGTAAATCCTTGCACAATGTCATTTACACTCAAATATTACATAAGCTATAGGAATTTAGATAAATCATTTGGAACACTGATCACTTAAAATCCAAAATATATCCAATTGGTTTGTAAAGGATTTTCCATGCAGAGTTAACAAGCTCATGTCTAGAAGTATTTAGAAAAGGAACTAAAGCTTTGTGGGCATTTCCCAGGTTCGGTGTGATCCTGAGATTCAAGAGTTGCGTCAGTGGCAAAAGAAACTGCGTGAAGACAAGCACATGCGCCAGCGAGTCAAGATTTTCTGGGCCAAACAAGAACAGAAAGGTCAGTTGTTTGATTCACCATCCTTGGTTTATTTAGGAAAAGCCTGAGTCTCAGCCCAGGCTCAAGAAGGAAGCCCTCTAAGTTCTTATCAGGTCCTTGTGTCTGCACGGAACCATTTGTGTGTGTGGGAAGTGGCTGCATATTAAGATTCTGTCCTGGAATAACAGAGGTGATGTGACATAATGTACCTGGCCATTTTCCTCACTCAGGCACAAATTCAGTGTCATCCATGTCTGCACATCTTTTTGTTTAAGCTATAAGACATCAAGGATAACCCCTCCTTTGGAAGCACAGTGTCCACAGGTGAGATGGGTAGTTACCTTTTTCAAGTTGTTGATTGTGTGTCTGAACTGAAATGTTGCATTATGCTTGTCCTCTCCCCTTCTGTGAGAAATTAAACACATGCGCGTGCATACACATACCTACACACACTGATGTACAAAGGATAACAAGCACTCTTCACCTGTCAGATGCAAGTTTCACCATTTTGTCTTATTTGCTTTCCACGTCTTTTATTATAAAACTTTAAATCATACATATTTGCAATAGGAAAATTAGAAAAACCATAGCCAGAAAAGGACCCCCCAAAATCCCACCACTGTTAATATTTTGGTGTATATCCTATGCTTTTTCCAGTGCAAACAGGTACAAATAAATGTCCACATACATTTTATTAAAGATAGGATTATACATTGTTACATTCTGTTACACAGTCTACTTTGTCACTGAATATACTCAGAACATCATTCTGGTCAACAACTAGGGAGTAGCATTGTGAAGTTTAATAGTTGCATGGTATGGATTTAGCATCATTTATTCAACCACCAACCTGGAAGGAGATTCATGATATATTATCAAGTGGAAAATGATCACAGATAAGTTGTCATCCCTATTAAAAGTATGTACATGGAAACATGGAGATGTCTAAACAGCCTGGAAGAAGACATTAGTGATAGTTACCTTTAGGATCTGGACAAGGTAGGAAGAGATGCACTGTTGGAATCTTTTACATAAGTTCATAGTACTTTACAATTAATGAAAAAATAATCCTACTCACCTCAGCAGGCTACAGGCCATCCATACTTTGAGTCCTCTCACCTCCCCATCCTGCCTTGTACCTGTCCCCCCTCACTAGGCTACAGACTTTTCTGTTCTTGCCATATGCCAATGCCTCCCTCACCTAGGGGACTCTGTAGTTTTCTTTTTTTTTTTTTTCTGTCAAATTGCCCATCCCCAGCTACTTCTCATCTTCCAGACCTGGGGCATTACCTCCTCAAAGAGGCCTTCCCCAGGGACCAGGAACCAGTCTGTTGAACAATCTCAACATGGCGGGGTCTAAACAAAAGCTTCCTTTTCTCCCCAGAAACTTTCAACCCTATTTCCTCAAATCTCTCTTTCCAATCCCTTCATGGCATATTGGGTGGATTCCATGGCTTTTCAGTGTGTTCTAATTTTGGAAAGCCCAGTCTAGTTTAAAATGCCAGTCTCAGATCCAATTTAATGCTTACCCAACTCCTTCTGACCTCTGTCAGTGGGAATGGGAGTGGGGGAAAATTGTTAGATCTTTCACACTTCTACACTTGCCTCTTCTGGATCTCTTTCTCCTCCAGTGGGATGAGTGAGAAGGAGGGAGATAACAGAAGGGCATTCATCTCTTCACTGTCTGTTGTGATCCTCTCTTGGCTGCTGCTGCTTCTCTAGCTAAGGCTACCATTCATGTCCTGTGGGCAGGCATCTCCATGCTGACTCTCTGACTCTGACTTTCATGATTCTTCCTGAAGGGAAGTAATAGTTGGCAGAACACCACTGTGGGGATCTGGCTCTGTCTCTACCTCTTCCGCCACCACTTCAGATCCCACCTCTACCAACCTATTAGCCTTTTGCTCTTGGGGGTCTCCTTACCCAATGGCCAGCCCTCTTGATCAGGGCATTAGGAAAGTAGTTCAGGTTACCTCCCAGTGTCTACCTGATTCACAGGAAACTGATGGTGGACACATAGAGTTCTCCATGGCCCTTCTTCTCTCTGCCCCAGTGTGTCTACCCAGATAACATTGAACCTACTCAGATAGGCATAGAGGAATGACCTGGATGTAAATCTGAGGCTATCCTTAAAGCAGATGTTCAATTAAATAATGAGATACCCCCAATCTTTCTGAACTATTCTCTTGGATTTTCCCCTCCTTGGTCTTAGGGTTTGGGTTGGGGGAAGCACCCTCCTAAGAGAGGAGGGAAAAAGCACAGTATTCTTCTTTAGGCCAGTAATTCTCAATCTTTTTGGGCTGTGATCCAGTAAGAAATTTATCATAATAAATTTACTGTAGTTTATATTACAATCTAGTACATACCCTCCTCTTCTATTGAATTATTTTATTTTATTTTTCTTTAAATGCTAGACATGACCTAGTAAATCAGTTTCATGGCCTTTACTCTTCAATTTTACCCATGCTTTGAAACATACTGTATTGGTCCTCTACTCCACAGCTCCTGCAATTTCTTCTCCCCCTTTCCTTCCCAGAGCCATCTGGTTAGGTAATGACTGGGCCCCTTCTTCACAGACAATGGTTCTCAATACTGGCTGTACATTTGACTAACTTTAGAAGCTTTCTAAAAATACCAGTGCCATTGACAGAGAATCCTAGAAGCAATGAGCATTCTTAGTGCCCAGATGTTGGTTTCTAAGTACCCCTCGTTCTAAAAGGAATAAAATTTCTTACAGAAATGGCTGATTCCAGGGCCAGGGCAAGGAAAGTAGAGATAAATCTGGAACATCCTATGCCAGAAAATAAAGATGGGGACATGGGAAGAGAAAACAGGGTTTAACTTGACGACAGTCTCACTGAGCAAATCTGGGATGATTTAAGTATCAAAATTAAAATGACATGGGCAGCCCAGGGGGCTCCGCGGTTTAGGGCCTGCCTTCAGCCCAGGGCCTGATCCTGGAGACCTGGGATCGAGTCCCATGTCAGGTTCCCTATGGAGCCTGTTTCTCCCTCTGCCTGTGTCTCTGCCTTTCTCTCTCACTCTGTGACTCTCATGAATAAATAAATAAATCTTAAACAAAAAAAACCTACTTAAAAAAAATTAGTGACAGTGGGGCGCCTAGGTAGCTCAGTCGCTTAAACTGACTCTTGGTTTTGGCTCAGATCATGATCTCAGAGTCATGAGATGGAGCCCCAGCATCACTGGACTCTTCCCTCAGCAGGGAGTCTCTTCCCCCTCTCTTTTTCCCTCTGCCCCTCCCCTTGCTTGTGCACTCTCTCTCTCTCTCAAATAAATAAATCTTAAAAAAATTAACAGTGACAATAATGAATTATAACTCATTGACAAATAAATGAGGGAGAGAGATGATTTTCCTTACATTAGAATACCACCTAATATATTTAGAAAGTATAATTAAATTAAAAAGTCACCATCTTGTAACCATATTGATAAAAAATTGACTCGGGCAAGAATCATCAGTACTTGCTAATAACATTGAGTGAAAGTTTGATGAGGAATATGATATTTAGAATCTCAAAATATCCCTCTACAAAGTAGTCATTAAACAAAGGGAAAAATACTAACTTTGCTTTAGAGAATCCTGGCAGATCCTATTTTCACCGAGTGTTCAAAATTATTATCACTGGAGCATCACTGGGTGGCCAGTCACTGGGTAGCCAGTCAGTTGAATGTCTGCCTTTGGGTCCAGTCAAGATCTTGAGGTCCTGGGATTAAGTCCTTCATCAGGCTCCCTGCTCCACAGGGGGATCTGCTTCTCCCTCTGCCTCTACCTCTCCCTCTCTGCTCATGCTCTCTCACATTCTCTATTAAATAAATAAATAATCAATCTTTTTAAAAAAGTTTATTTATTTATTTATTTATTTATTTATTTATTTATTTATTTATTTATGAGAGAACAGAGAGAGAGTCAGAGACATAGGCAGAGGGCCTGATGTGGGACTTGATCCCAGCAGCCCAGGATCATGACCTGAGCTGAAGGCACTCAACTGCTAAGCCACCCAGGTGCCCCAATAAATAAAATCTTTTAAAAAAATTAAGTTCACCAATATTGGGAGAAGTTGACATAATGTGCCTCCTGGTATGATGTGTTGAGAAAGATACACATCACATATGCTTATGTACTATTCCTGTCAAAACGCATAACTTGAATCTAATCATGGGGAAACGTCAGACAAACCCAACTTGAAGGATATGTACCAAAATAACTGATTTGGATTCTTAAAAAATGCCAGTGTCAAGAAAGACCAAGATTAAAGGAGGACCAAGGGGACATGACAGCTAAGCAACGCATGATCTTAGATTGGCTCCTGGATGGGAAAAAATTCTATGAAAGACATTATTGAGACAATTAGCAAACTTTGGATGTAGGCTCTATATAAATAACTACATAGCACTATCAAATTTCCTCATTTTGATCAATATCCTTAGGGTATATAAGAAGCCTCCTTGGAGTGCCCAGCTGGCTTAGTCAGTAGAGTGTGCAACTCTTGATCTTGGGCTTGTAAATTCAAGCCCCATGTTGAGTGTAGAGATTACTTAAAAATAAAATCTTTTTTAAAAAGATTTAAAAATCTTAAAAAAAATCTTATTTAAAAAGAGAAAAATATTTTTAAGTCTTTTTAAAAAAGATTTTATTATTTGACAGAGAGAAAGAGAGGGAAAGCATGAGTTAGCGGGGAGGGGCAGAGGGAGAAGGAGAAGCAGGCTCCCCATTGAGCAGTGAGCCCAACTTGGGGCTTGATCCCAGGACCCTGAGATCATAACCTGATTCAAAGGCAGACATATACTTAACCAACTGAGTGCCCCAGAAACAAAATCTTAAAAAAAAAAAAAAAAGAAAAAAACTACCTCATTCTTAAAAGATGTAACCTCAAATGATTCAGAAAAAAAGAATGTAACACACATCTGTATATATTCATAGAAAGTGGTAACATAAGTAAGGCACAGTAGAAGCTACTAGTGAACACAGGAGTCCTGTGGATGATTATTACAACCTTTCT